TAAATTACAATTGTGTTGTATATTGATGATTGACTTTTTTTTTTCAGAAAATTCTGAACCTAATGAACATGACAGTCTAGTTTATGAGATGAAAATAAAATGTACAAAAAAGGATTTAGATGCATTAGCACACAAGCAGTTTATTAGTTTTCCAGGTAAAATTGTTTTTACAATGAAATTTAATTTACTTTGGTAAACAGAATACAGAAACATAGAATATGATGATATAAATTATTAGTATAGTTAGTTAGTAAAGTTGGGACTGTCAGGGAACAGTTGTTTAAATTTTTAAGAGTACCATTAAAATTTTGATTTACTTTATATTCTAGATATATCAACCTACCCCCATACATAGCTCATTATAATTCAATTTGTTTCAACTCATACTCTCTTAGTCCAGTGATCTTCAATACATCACCCTTAAGATTAGGTTTACTGAGGTGATAGTGTACTTTATAATATCATTATTTATTACTATTAAATCATTTAATCAACCTTGTGTACGCACAATTACATTGCTATATTGTGTTAACTTTTATTAGTGGATGAACACAAGTCACAAGTTTCTAGGACCTGTAAAACATAATTTAATTTGTATCGATTTAACAATCAAGTTCTCAAGGTAAGATCCTGTAGTGATAATAGGTAACATAAGTACACTCAACACCTAGCTTATAGCAGAGGGGTTATCTACTTTCCATTTTTTGTTTTAATTAATAACTTAAATATTTTTTTAAGATTGTAATATTAGTTTTCATATAATTTTAGTTTACGCAAAACACATAAAATGGWTGCCATTAGGCAATCAAAAAGATATTTTCACGGAAAAAGATGTTGGGATAATTAGTGATGATATTCTCATTGCAAAGTTAAGACCAGGACAAGAAATTGAACTTAAAATGTTTGCAGTCAAAGGAATACCTAAAGACCATGCTAAATTTCAAAGTGTTTGTAAGTATCTAATTTTTATTAAGAGGAATCTACACCTGTGTGTATTGTCTCCATCTGGCAAATATAAAATATGGTGATTTCTGTTTTGCTTGGGAAAGAACCGAGAATGTTATGGTCATAACTAAGAAATATAATTTTCACCACAAACAAAAAGAGAACTTTGGCTGTGAAATATTGTATTTATGTGCTCGATATCAGAATTACAATAAAAGTTATTCAAGTTAAAAGAACACAAAATTAATTGAATCTTGAAACAATAAAAACTTTTTTTGTATATGTGGTATGATGATAAAAACAATATTTTACAGATTATGTTCTCAACTGTATTGTATATCACTTTGGAGTCTTAACTATCACTACACCCTAAATGGTTCTATCTCATGCAAAATAGTTTTTGCTATATTCTACATTGTTAAAACGGAAACATCACATGTGAGTATGGTACTCTTAAGTAAGAGTTAAATTTTACAAATAATTTTTTTTTCTAGTTATTATTTTTATGACTAACTTAGATAAGTTAGAGGTGTTATTATTTTTTAAATTTTATATGAATAAAATGATTTGTTGTATTTTGAATATTTAGGCACAGCGTGGTATAGAATGATGCCAAATATTAAATTGCTTGATGAAATTAAAGGAAATGATGCAGTATTATTACAATCATGCTTTCCTAAGGGTGTTATTGGATTGAAAAGTGTGAAAGGTATTTATTTTTTATAAGAACTATTTAGAATAATTATTTTAAATGATCTGATAATTGATTTTAGGTGTCCTTAGTGCGTTTGTAGAAGATTCTCGAAAAGATAATAGTTCCAGAAATGTATTTAGATACAAACAATTTGATAACAAAATTTTACTTACTAAAATTCAAGACCATTTTATATGTAAGTTTTTTAGTCTGGTTCTAAGTCAATAGATTTTAATTTTGTGTTTATTATGTAAATAATTAATAAAAATTATAAATTCATTTGCACAAAAAATTATATGATACTAGTTTGAAACAAATCACATTTATAGATTACTACAGTTTTTTTTACAGTATTTAATGATAAATTATTAATTTATATATAATAATATATTATAATATAATAATATAATAATATAATATAATATATTTATATATAATAATAAATTATTACAATTATCTTGATAATTGTAATACTGTTTATTTTTGAAATTAAAATTTGAAAATTTCATAGAACATTTTTTTTAATTATTAAATTAAATATTAGTATATTATTTTTATTTTTGCTAGAATTTATTGTTAATTTTCAATTCTTAAGATGTTGAAAGTAACATGCATTTAATTAGTTTTCAAAGTCAGTGTTTTGTATCATGGATATTTCTCATTTGACTATAAATAGTTATTTCATAATTTATGATTATAACAATAGCATAAAAATTATAATATTACCAATATTTTTATCGTATTGTAGATTGTAGAATAACAACCGTTTACTTTCCATATATATAGGCTATACTAGTGTGGACACATTTAATATATTGAAATGTTTTATATATTCAAATGAATAACATTAAATACTTTTATACCAAAACAATAATTCACATACAACATTTTTTGACATTGTTGGTGGTATTACTATTCTTAAAATTGWAGTAAGTTATTTTTTAACATTTGTTTTAAAAAAACTCAATTACTATTCAGTAATAATTCTTTTAACTAGAAAATAAAAATAATTTGAAACTACAACTCAAATTCTGCTTAAAAATATAGAAAGTCATTACGTTATTTTTAGTAAAGGTTTGTAATTGGTAACATACATCTAAATTTTACACTGACAACAATTTATTCAAATAATTGTTAACATTTAAAATAATTTTAGTTAAATCATGAACTAACAATTAACATTATTAATTTTCAGTTACAATTGAATCAATCGGTGCAATGGATCCAAGCTTAATTTTCTTAGAAGCATTAAATATTTTAACTAGAAAAGTTAATAGTGCCTCAGAATCAGCATTAAACCAAACTGAAATCTAATTTTAATATATTTGTGACTTGAATGTTATTATTACTTAATATATATTATGCAGAAAAAATTATAATTATTAATTTTTAATAAAACATTTTTCAATTAAAACAAGATCATTGTTTTTCATAAAACTTGAAGGCTGAATAGTATTTTTAGTTAAATATGTTTCACTGTAAGTCAGGACAAATTATGAATTTTTCAAGTGACCCTTTAAAAATACTGGTAGGTGGTTTCTGCTAAAGATGATCACACTTAAATTAATCGTATTTAATGCAATATTATTTTAAAGTTGTTTATTCCAATTAAATATGTTTTCTTCAAATACCTACAATATATTTTTAATTCTTTCAGTATATTTTAATTTTTATGTATTTAAATTTATTTTTGTGAATTTTCCTATTTTTAAATGACACAAAATTCAGTACTTTTGGACTACCTCGACTACCCAATTATTTCCAAGACTACTTTTCTGGATCATCTGGGTTATCTCAATTACCTCTGTGGCTCTGTATAGGAATCTAAAATTTATTTATATAAGTATATTTCCTCGTTGTTGCATGTCTCATCTTAATTTTGTTTTCAATGTACAATTTACTATACATACTTTACCATTAACCTTTTATGACAGTCACCTGCTACCATTTATTATACACTACTTAAGCCTAGCCAACAAATATTTTTATTTTGAGAAAATGAATGTCGCCCACTTTTAATTTGAAACCATCAGAGAAAAAAGCTGTCTGTCTTCAAAAATACGAAGTGTGGAAGTGTACAAATTTTTCCAAACAATCACTTAGTAACATTTTTGAAATGTAAAGCATAAAAATGCTGGAAGGTAAATAAATATATATAATAGTAATYGATTTGGAAAATTACAAATATTGTTTACAACTGCTATACATTTCCTCCACAAAAAATAAAACAACTGAATTTTTACGGATTAATTATAAAATTTTTGCTATATTTCTATATAATATACTTTTGTTTATAAAAATGGCGATGGTCAAAAATTACTATTTGCAAAAAAATTACCAACTGCATTTTTTTTTATTTTAATCATTACATTTTACGATAATAATAATATAATGAGAATATTTTTACCTTATATAATATAATACAAATATTTATAAACTTATACTTTATTTTTTAAATTTAATAAATTGTGGTAGTCAAGATAACCCGGTGCAAAATAGTCAAAAGAACACAAATGTGCCCAAAGTATCCAGGACAGAAATTAACATTTACAAAGAATACCATATTAAATTGTATAATATAATATTCACCAGATACGAGATACATATATAATATATTTATATTAAATTAAAGCAAAAATACATCATGTTTAATTAATATAGTTGGATAATTAAAATAAATTGTGTACATGGTTACAAGTACATAATAAAAAAAATGTAAAATTATGGATTTAAGAAGTACTTCGTCTATTAGGTGGTGGTGACATGGATTCACTTTTTCTCCATCCAGGTGACCTACTCCTAGCTGAACCAGGAGTATGGCTTCTACTTTTACTTTCTGATCGGGATTTATGATCAATCGACATACTTCTTCTGCTCCTATCTACTGATAAGCTTCTTTTTCGGCTTGTTGATTTACTTCTTTTTCTGCTGTCAGATGTACTCCTCTTATTCCTAATTGGTGGTGACCTAGATACAGATCTAGCAGGAGACTGAGGACTTTTAGATGGAGTTCTAGTAACCCTTCTAGGAGGAGGTGACCTAGGGGATGGAGATCTACGTATGGGTGAACGAGTACGTCTATGTCTTTTTTCAGTAGGAGAACGTGACTTATGACGACTTGCACTACGTTTACGAGTACGCCTTTGCGATGAATTTGATTTCCTATTACGTTTCTTAGGTGTTCGACTTCTGCGAGGAGACCTGCTAACTCGCTTACGAAGCGGAGTTCTTGTCCTAGATCTTTTTGGAGACAATGTTCGTCTAATATGACTAGATGAACGGCTTTTAACTGGTTCAGATGTCTTTCCTCTACCAGACGAACTACTTCTCCTAGGTGATTTACTAGATGATCGTGGACTCCTAGAATTACTTCTTGGTGGTGTAGCTGATCTAGATTTCCCTTTTTCAGGTGTAGCTGATTTATTTTTTTTCTCAACTTCTGATACAACAGGTGGGGTGTTATCTTTTTTTTTGTCTTTTTCTTTTCGTTTTTCTGATTTATCTTCTTTTCGTTTTGAAGAATATTTCCTATCTTTTTTATGACTTCTAGATCTTGAGCGACGTCTAGACTTGGATTTAGATCTTGATCTTCGTCTATCTCTTGATGCTTTGCGTTTTCTATCTCTAGACCTAGATTTTTTCCTGGACCGTGACCTTTTTCTCTCTCTAGAACGTCGGTCTCGACTCCTGTACCTTTTCCTTGATCTAGAGCGTCTTTTAGAACGTGATCTTGACCGTCTTCGACGTGAGCGTGAGTGTCCTCTACGTGATCTAGATGATGACCTACGCCGACTCCTACCATGTGACCTAGACCTTGATCTACGGTGGGAATGGCCATGCTTTTTGTCTTTCGATAAAATACCAATGACAGGATCAATAGCTGCAGAAATCAAACTTTGAGCTTCTTTTACTCGAGTCATAGCTTCTTCGATTTCTCTTTGGGCTGCTTCATTACTTTTAGCCATTGGTTTAGCAATTGCTTGAGTGGCATGTGTTACTTGAACCGGACGGGAACCAAGTTGTACTCCATTGAGTTTTAATCCAGCTATAACGCTAGCTTGTTCGGAATACTCTACAAGAGCATAACGAGTAATATCATTTTCTCTACTACACCATCTAACATACTTGACATCACCAGCTTTTTGGAAAAAACCAATAAGTTCATCATCAGTCACATTTTCGTCCACGTTAATAGCAACTAAGGTACGCCTAATTTCTTCAATTCGTCTAGAATCGTAGGTGATGGGCAATTGTGGGTACGGCGGTAAGCCATTGGACGCCAATACCGGATCGTTAGTGACAATTACCTGATTTGGAGGGATGCCTTCGATTTGATTGACGACGTGAGCTGGCAACTTGGGATCAGAAGGATATAACCCAGGCACGATGTTCGCTTGATTAGCAATATCTAGCGCCCTGTATTCATCAGGTATGTCCCCAACCGAGGATTGATAGGGCGTGACAATAAGTGCTCGGTCGATGAACACGGTGTTAGTGAGATGTTGTGCGACGGCAACGCATAACGAGTCGAAGTACTTGACGTAACATATACGAGACTGGACTGGAACAGACACGTCACGTATCTGCGGGTACAGTCTGATATCCTCGATCTTGCCAATGCAACCGAACAACGTTTGCATTTGGTCCTTGGTGGCCTGCGGTGCGATATTCGTTACCTGTATCACCTTCGTGGAGGGTAAAGCCGCAGCTGCGTCCGTGCTGGCCGTCATCGTGACTCGCGAAGATTTGTGCAATCAACGACGACTATCGGTCTCAAATGCTAGACATTCGGCAGCTACATGTTGTAAACGACGCAAAAGGCTGGTTTTGTTCGTACAGTCGGCGAGAGACTCGGCAGTCAATACTTCAACAGTGATCAAGAATTGCGATTCGTATTTAAACGTGAGAATCAAACAGCCGAACATCCGCGGTGTGTTAGTAGTACGCCTATGATGTCACAAAAACAGTGTGGACAACAACAGCAGCGGACGGCATCAAGGGAAACTAAATAATGTACATTTAATTAACAATTTTATTTTCGTATATTCATGCGATATATTTAACGTGTTAGGTGCGAAAATCGAGTTAATTTAAACGCACGAGCTCCGGGCTAGAGTTGGAAATTTTAAAATAAATTTCGTTATGTTTCAGAATAATTAAGTAAAAACTAAAAACAGCGGTATGGTAGGGGGAAATATCAATAACATCATCATCGTCGCCATAGTCATTCTATGCTGAACACGGTTGCAGTTGCACACACTGCGATAATACGCCGGTTCAGTAATATTATTTCTGTCTTGTCATTTTCTGCTGCCGAAAGCCGAAACCCTGCCGCAGATTACTGGATTCGTGGTGTTACGTAGGTTTCTTCATTATCATTGTACGAAAATACGATTCAAGTATTTGACATTTTGTCAATTTGGGTATTTGGGTGGAAAATCGTCTTGGCCCTACGAGTGTAACCGTGTGAGTACGTTTTATTCATTGGTGGTTGTGCTTTTTACTGCACGTTTTTTGACATATTATTGTTTTTCACACTTATTATATTGTCCGTGTCGAACAGATATCAATGGCCAAAATTAAACTACTGGCATGCATAGCAGTGCTGGTCGTGCATTTGGTATTTGGCGAAGAACAAGCACCGGTAAACAACGAGTCTCATCTACAATTAATTTAAAATTTTTAACTAATTCGTGTATCCTTCACCAGAGTGACGTGACGGTAGAATCAGTACCTTACACCAGCCCAACTCCAAGTAAAGTAGGCGTGTACCTGGCTGAAAATTTCGATAATCCATCAATATTGGACAAAAAATGGATTAAGTCTAATTCCAAGAAGCCAGACGTTGATGAGGAATTAGCTCAATATGATGGTAAACTACTTATTTTAATATGATATAACAATAAATGTTTTTTTATGCACACTTACAATTTTGTAGATATAAATAATGAATATTATATTTATATACTTGTTTACATAATTGAAACAAAATAACATCTCACAGCAGAAAGCTTCCTCTAGTGGGTAGTGGGATAGAAGATAGGTAGTCTTTAATACTATAAAAGTTAATAATTTATGTCTTATTGATTCTACCTATGAAACTATAGATATAATAAAAATTTTCATAATACAACCCATAAAAATCAATGCCTAATTATTTTTATAGCTTAAGTTACCTTGATAGATAATTGTTTAATATTTATTGTACTTTTTAATCATTGTAACTATTTATATTATTAGGTAAATGGAGTATTGAGGAATTGGAAAGATTCCCACTGAAAGGTGACAGAGGTCTAGTTTTAACATCAGAGAGTCGTCATGCTGCTATTTCATCAAAACTTGACAAACCATTCAAATTTGATGGTGGAAAAACTCTAGTTATTCAATATGAAGTAGCATTTCAAAAGCCACATACTTGTGGCGGAGCATATTTAAAGTTACTTACAGATGGTCCTCATATTAAAGATYTAACTCAGTTCAATGATAAAACTCCTTATTCAATTATGTTTGGTCCAGATAAATGTGGACCAACTTCTAAAGTGCATTTTATAATTAGACATAAAAATCCTAGAAACAATACAATTACTGAAAAACACTGTTTAAAATTAAAAACTGAAGAATCCGTATTTACTGACCATCAACCTCATTTGTATACCTTAGTTGTTAAACCAGACAACTCATATTCATTCTTTTTAGACCAAGAAGTAAGTTATTCTAAAAATTTTATTATTAAGTTAAATATATTATTGTTTGTAGTTGCAATATGAAGGAGATTTACTATCAGAAGATGATTTTAATCCACCAATTAACCCGCCAAAAGAAATAGTTGATAAGAATGATGTAAAACCTGAGGATTGGGATGAAAGAAGTAAAATTCCTGATGAAAGTGCTGTTAAACCAGATGATTGGGATGAAAGTGAACCTGAAAGTATTCCTGATGAATCCTCTTCTATGCCAGACGATTGGTTGGAAGAAGAACCCACTCACATTCCTGATACAGCAGCAGTTAAACCCACTGATTGGTAAGTATCAGACATATGATAATATTTTAACTAGGTAATGGGTTTGGTAATTAATTTATAATAAAATGTAGACAAACCCATAAAATATAATAACACATGATAGTACCAAATCAATTATAGTGAATTCTAATTATTATAATCTGTATGCATTATTGACTTATTATTAAATTAAATTAACTTAAAGGGATAATGAAATGGATGGAGAATGGGAACCGCCCTTAATTAATAATCCAAAATGTGAAGATCGTTCAGGCTGTGGGCCTTGGTCAAGACCATTAATGAAAAATCCAAAGTACAAAGGCAAATGGAAGCAGCCATTAATAGACAATCCAAACTATCGTGGAAAGTGGACTCCTCGACTTATACATAATCCCGATTATTTTTATGATAAAAATCCACTTAAATCTTCACCTATTGTAAGTATTTTTAATTTGTTATGATATATTTCACAGACAAATAGTTTGTTTAATTAACTCTTAGTACAAAACAATCCATTTTACTGATAATTTATTAACTTTCCATCTCTACTGTCAGAGTCAATTTTTGTGATGTCCTATTACTTAAACTTTAAAGTTTTTAATTGTATTGGCAACTTAATTGTTCATTCTAAACATGTGTTAAAATTAATAGTTTTTAAAAATAAGACCACTGGTACAGAATATATAGAAAGATTCCTTTTACTATATATTGTGGACATTGTATAATTAAAAATATACACACACGTATATATATATATACACTTTTTGAATTAATTTATGTTCTCTGAAAATAAGAACATTTTATATTTTAACAAATTTGATGAAAATCTTTAAATTTTCTCATATCTTTACCCTATATAATTAATGAATAATTAATTTTTGTGTGTATTATGCATAAATAAATTAACATTATATTTCTGTTTATTATTATAGGGTGCTGTTGGTTTTGAATTATGGTCTATTTCAGACAAAATTTATTTTGATAATGTTGTAATAGTAGATGATGAGGTACATGCTGAAAAATGGTCAGAATTAACTTGGTTACTAAAAAAGAAGAATGTATCTCACGAATCGGTAATGTTTAATATAAATTTTAAACTTAAAGCTTTTTTTTATTTTTATATCTCCAATATTATATTAGCAATGGTTTAAAAACAAACAAAAATATCTATATATATATATTATAGGGCACTTTTTGGGGCAGAGTTCTCAAGAATATGAATTTTAAGCCAAGATTATGGTTATGTTATATAATTTATTGTTCTATACCTGTGATTATTTATTTATCATATTTGACACAAAGATATTTAAAGGTAGTTAGTTACTAATTAAGTAACTAATTAATAGTTTGTTTGTTACACCTTGTTATGTTTGTACTTTCCCATTATATTTGTACATACTATAATATTATTAATTAATACCCATATCCTATTACTGTATTGTATTGTAACAAATTTGTATTTTCTTGCTTAGGAAAGTGTGTTTGGAGCTGTAATTAGATATACCAATGAGAACCCTTGGTTGTGGGCTGTGTATGTAGTTGTTATTGCAGTAACTGTTGTATTAATAGTTATAACATGCTGCACATCAAAAGTAATTTTTCTTCCACCGTTAACTTACGTTATTTCAATCTCCTTAAGCTCATATTATTTATTGTTCTTATTAACATAGGAAAAGTCTTCTTTAAAAGAGTCAAATAAGAAAACTGACGAGCCAGTACCTGACGTAGACGCAGAAGTATCTGATGAAGAACAGGAAGCAGATATAAAAGAAGATGAAGATGTTGATAGTAAAAGTGCTGATGATGATGAAGAAAATGTATGTGATACTAACAATTAAATATTATGTTAAAATATTTTTAAGTTAATATCAGTAGTTAACTTGTTGGTGGAAAAACAGATTGCTTTACCTAATTGTTGATACATCCTATTAACTATTATTCCCTTACTTTTTTCAAATTGTTGGTACACATGAGATGATATTTTATTTTTCTACTACTTTTTATTAAATGTGTTTGTTATAGAAAAATAAATAACCTCTGTGTAATTGAGGATTCTTAAGGTAAGGACTACAGATAAAATTTAAAGACAATAAAACTTTAATTTAGATGAAAAATATACTTGTTTATGGAATTTATTAAATCAAGTCTCTTGTGGTGTAAGCTTTTCATATTTTTTGTYATAATTAATACTTGCAAATGATTTTAAACACACTTTGAGCAATCATTTTTATTATTTAAATACTGTATATTAATATTATAATAAAATATAAATATATTTTGAAGTTATGGTTGACCCATTAAATATACTTAAATGTAATAAATTATGAAATGTTTATTGGTCTGCGATAAAAAATTTTCAATTGTGTAAAAGGTATGTCTGGGGTCCAAAACACCCAAGATTATATTTAATATTTTAATATTACAAATTGTATGTGTGTCATCTGAGTAACATTACTATTTCTTTTTCAAGTTATGCACTAGTTAATTATTCATATATTAATTTTATATATTTTATATATTTATAAAGGTTGATGTGGAAGCTGATCAAACTAATGAAGATCAAGTACCATCCTCTCCAAGAAAGCGCAGAACAAGAAAAGACTGAATCTGCTTATCACCTATCTTCTTTCCCTGGTAGCGTCATTTTGTTTGTATTCCTACAATTTGTGTGTTTTGTTTTATTTATTTATTTATTTTTTTTTTAAACATTTTAGTCATGATAATGTTAAAACCCAAAAAAAAGTTATTCTCAAATATTTATTATACAGGTCTCTGTAATAATTTTATACTTGTGTTGTTAATAATACAACAAACACTTATTGAATTATTATATTTTAAAACACTTTTGATAGACTTTTGCATTAATTAAATGTATTGCTTTCAAGTTCAATTATAATATGTTTTATACTATATATATTATAAAAAGAAAATTAATGTGTCTGAAATTAAAATATAATCTCAAATGTGGTAAATAAATTGGTTTGATTGAATAATTGTTATTATTGAAAAAACTAATTTGATTGTTATTTAATTATAGCAAATTGACCAACTTCTTATCACATCTTATGCATTTTAATATTTGATATGATAATCATTTATTACTTAAAAACAAGTCAAATCTTAAAATGTGACAAACCCTATAAATACTAATTTAATATTACAATAAAACAATTGTATGGTATTTATGATATTTTTATTGATGATTGACTTTCAATTTTATGATCTGTTTACTAGATAAGTGACGGTTTTTAATTTTAGTAGAACTTCATGCTCTGGTACACATTTCTAACATATTTTATTTAAATAAGTTCTTACAAATGGATACTCAATATATTTTTTTTAATTTATATTTGATTGTATTAAGACATATTTGGTGAAAATTAAATGAATATTTTTGGGCCAGAAGTCCTTATTTTATGTGTTTTAATGTGTATACATTTTGAACTCTAGTAATAGCAGTAATAGTCAACAAAAGAACAGTAAAATAAATCTGTGATTCAAGTAGATGCAACTACTCCACCATGGGATATCAACTTCTAGTAAAATTATTATACAAAAGTAGTATTATATTTTAAAAATATTAATTAATATTGATATTAGTTTTGATTAACATATTCACCAAGGGTGATGCCTCTAAAATTGGTGTCATGTTCTTTGTTATTAATGCACTACAATTTTGGCAGTGATACGATTAAACTATTTGTTTTTTTGTTAATGTCTACTATAAAAGTATTATTGCATAACATATTATTGTAYACTTATGTCATACATCAATATTTTAAAAAGATTTTTTTTAAAGTTCATTTTTTAGCGCCATAGTAAACAATATGTTCTTCAGCTTATGAATTAAGTATAAGAATAAATAGTTTTGGGAAGAAAATATAATAATTTTAGATAAAGCTACTAACCATCAAGGATATTATTAGGAATAAATAGAATTTTAAAAAATAGTCATAAACCAATATATTATACGTAAATTACTGTTTATTAATTTAAAGTTATATTTTTTAGATTTGGTTATAAAATGTAGTTGATCATAAAATGTGAGATTTAAAAAAATGTCCTCTTATATTAATCATCCTAAAATTGTTTGAAAGGTTGTTCCAGTATAACCAACATTGGATGAACTTTGGTCCGAAAATGTTATGTATAATCTAGAAAAAATAGTTATTAATTTCATTCATCAGTTCATCACCGACTGATAAATCAAGTGAACAAACCTGTCATCTGGTATGCCTAGTTCCTTTTTTAAAAGAGGATACAAGACGGCAGCATGTTTCTTGTTCTGTTCAACGCCTAGGCAACCAATGCTCATTAACGTAGCTGTACCACAGGGCTTATCATCTCCACCCCATGTCATAAGTTGATCAGGCACAATAGTCACAACTACATACTGTAACACAAATAATATAACAATCATGAGTAAAACCAATTACAATGAAAAAAAATTAGGTATTTACCGATTCCGGTTTTCCAAGAGTTTTGGCAACAGCTGCAGAAATCTTTTTTAATAATTCTGGTGTTACTTTAGACTTGGATACATTTGTTTCCAAACGAAAATGAGGCATATTGAAAAATTAAGAATAAAATTCTTTAAAAAAATATTTAAAAGCCAAGTGGATTTAAGTCACGATTTCAACTGGTATTTACTAATCCTTAATGGCGTTAGTTGATTTAAGACAGAGACGAAACGTAACTACGAAACCACGATTTATCTATAATTAATAATTAGTAATTGCCGGACGAGGCGACGACCTATGAATTATGATAACTGATAACTGATAAGATCATTTTTAACTCACAAGCAAATTAAAAAACTATACAGAACAACTAACTGGTATAGTGACACTAGCGCTTACATGCAGGGATGTAGTGGAGGGTATGCGTGAGAATGCGGCGCATACCCACTTTTCAAATTTTTAAAAGAGAGCATACTAAAGAAAAAAACTTGAGACCGGAAGTATGCGCTGAAAAACATGCGTATACCCACTWMAYAAAAATTRTTTTAAACTAGCTGACAGAAGTATTATTATATTATGTATTAGATAAATAAATATACTTTATAATAATATTAGGTAATTACATTGTTAAAGTTATTATAATTTAAAATCAACTTAATAAAATAATAACTAATTATATGTTATTAATTTAATAATTTATATAATTGAAAGGAGGTGGTGGTGGAGGGGTTGATGCTGGCCGTAGCCAGACCAAATTTTCTGTTGGGGCAAAGCATCTTTAGGGGGGGGGGCGTTATGTATAAAACAATGTCCGTCTAATATTTTTAAGGTGGCAACGCCATTTCCCACCGTGGCTACGGGCCTGGTTGATGACAAAAGCTGCCATATATGTAGCATACTCGCAAATAACTTTAGGACTACATGCCTGCTTACAATGAACTGAATGAACTATATAATACACGAATACGTTATAAAACATCGTATTCATAATATTATATTATCGAGAAGACGAAAACTTCATAAAAATAATTCAAATAAAGTATTTTAAACACCTACTTTTAATGATATTGAACATTATTATACATTTTAATGTATATAATGCATAAAAACCTACATTTTTAATTTCTACCAGTCCTTTAATACTTTTATTTTATATTCTGAACGAAGTGATGAATGTATTGATTTTACAATGATGTGTGTGTTTTTTTTTTTTTTGTGTCTGTGTACAGCATATAACTAGTCGAGATAATACTTCAATTTCAAACTTTGGGGGTGGTTTCCGATGTAAAAGTGAATATCCTTGGTGCAATATAGAGGTAAAAGATAAACATTTTCCAATAGTTTTCAAAAAAATCGAGAAAAACAAAAAAAAAAATGACAGAAAAACGGGAATTTTTACGCAAAACCAGTTTTCGAACAAATCGATTTTTTTATATGGTTGTAATTCAAAAACTAATCACTGTAAA